TATATATATATATACACCTTGCTACGTGTACTGCATTAGGCTAACCGAGACTTGTCATTTGCACTTATATATTGTTGCTCTTTTGTTAGTTTTGACTGCTTTTATTGTCCTCATTTGTAAGTCGCTTTGGATAAAAGCGTCTGCTAAATTACTAAATGTAAATGTAAAATATTATATTATATCTGACTAACTTTGTAAATATTTATGCGCCGTTCTAGCTAGTATTTCTACGTGCGTCAAACGTCATCATCATGCGTCGGAAGCGCGTCCATCATCAACACACACGTGAGTCCACTACACTGCTGTTCTCTACACAAACTAGCAGCACATCATCGGCTGTGACAGTCGCGTTTATTGAGCAGAAAGTCGCTCTGATGAGCCGCTGCGCGTCGATTATGCTCGCGCGTCTCCGCTGCTCTTTCTTCGCACTCGGAGCGCCGGGAGTCGCTAGAGAGCCTCTGCTGCGGGGAGCCGTCGGACTGATGGAGACTCCGTCCTCCAGGAAGAGCAGGCCTGTCAGAGACACGCTGCGCCGTGTGAAGATGAAGGAGAACCGCAGGCAGGGCGAGCTGCACGGGCCCACCACCGTCTATGTGCAGGTGCTCGGCGCCGGGAGTCGAGACAATGGCGCCTCGCTGTATGTCTTCTCTGAGTACAACAGGTGAGCACTGATCCTGACATGCGAAATAATCTCTCAAAAGTGTGAAATATTACACTTTATTATCAGTATTCATGATTAGAGTGATGCGGCAGGGTTTGATGTTGAGTAAAGTATGGAAAAATAGCAGAAGCAGAGTTCAATGAAATGCCAGCTTATTAAAAAAAGAGATCATATTAATAAATAATGTATTAACTTTCATTTAAAAACATAAAACATTTTTGTAGTTGAGATCAACAATGAATGATCACTAATAATAATAAAACATTTTGCAACTTAGATTCATATATGTATTTGTCTTTGATAAAAGCGTTTAACGTTACTAAATGAATATGTAAATGTCATTGTATATTTTAGGATGTATAATTATTTGAATATACATGAATCACTGACTATCTAAGCAGTATATATAGCTTGTTGCTGAATTATTCATGGATTAATAATTAAATAAATTGATTATGCAATGTTACTAATAAAGTAAAAAAAAATAAAAGTTTTCCAAATAAAATTAACAAATATTATCACATAACAAATCAGTACTTCATAAACAGAAGCATGCATTATTTACATTTATATAAATAAATCAAACTTGTGAGTATATTATTTAAAATATAATGATAATAATTTACCGTTAAACTTTATATAATATAATGTATGTTATGTGAGTACATTAGTTGGTAATGATTATAAATGATCAATTATTTTTTTTACGAAATCTGTGCTACCTGACCTGTAAATGATATATCATCAACTTTATTTGGTTATTATTAGGGTTGCAAAAAGGTGGAAAATTTCCTGTAAATTTCGGACACATTCCAGAAATTTTGGAAACTTTCCAGGATTTTTGGGAATATTCCAAGGATTTTTGGAAAGTTTCCGGAGACTTACCAGAAATTGTCCACCCCTTTGCAACCCTAATTATTTAATTTTATTAATTCCAGAAATTTTGGAAACTTTCCAGGATTTTTGGGAATATTCCAAGGATTTTTGGAAAGTTTCAGGAGACTTACCAGAAATTGTCCACCCCTTTGCAACCCTAATTATTTAATTTTATTCATTATTTATTAGATTTTTTATATAATCACTAAACTTTCATTTAAAAACAAAACATCAAAATTCTCCTCGTAAGAATAATAGTCATCCAAGGCGAATCTTATTCAAAAAGTTTTAAAAAGCCTTTATTTCATTATGGCTATAAGTTTTAAGAACAGGTGACAAGTGCACACCTACGCGTTGTGGCTATTTTGCCTTCGTCAGGGTGTGAGTAACAAACACAATCGGAGTTCATTTTGAGCAGCAATTAATTAGTCAAATAACAATCACCTGGTCGTGCTACACAGGACAAACAGAAGAGAGGAAGTTCGACAATTACATAACAAATGAAATCAAACAATATAATCACAGTATAAAGGTGAGAAAAAAAAAAAATTACATAAACATAAATATATAAATCAGACGCCACAAATCAATGTGTGTATGTACATAGTATAAATTTCTTTAAAAAAAAAATAAGATCAACAATATAATATTTCCAGATCTGAATTCTTATTACAAAAAAGGTCTAATTCCCCATTTAAGCCTGGAAGTTTAGTTGCTTTCAGTGTATAGATCAAGAAAGACTCTCTGTAAAAGCCTATTGACCCAATCACCTCCTCTTATTGACCTGGGGACATGTTCTATACCGATCTGAATTCTTATTACAAAAAAGGTACCAGGTCTAATTCCCCATTTAAGCCTGGAAGTTTAGTTGCTTTCAGTGTATAGATCAAGAAAGACTCTCTGTAAAAGCCTATTGACCCAATCACCTCCTCTTATTGACCTGGGGACATGTTCTATTCCGATTATCTTCAATGTACTTGGGCTACCATGATTTTTCTCTTTATAATGAAGGGCCATAGGATACAAAGGGTTACAAACTCGAATGGCATTCTTATGCTCTGCTAATCTGATCTTTAATTTCCTTGTAGTCATCCCTATGTAGAAAATTCTAAATTCTCCTCATTAAGAAATCAGTAATAAAAGATCAAAAATGAAAAAAAATGTCATGAAATTCTTGATTCAAATGTTCCGCCTTTTAATAAAAGCATCTGTTTAGTGAATATAAAGATGTATTTCTATATTTTTATATATAGTCATATTTGAATATGCATGAACCACTGACTGTCTAAGCTGCAGTATATCATGTTTGTTGATGAAAGTGATTCTGCAGGGTTATTAATAATTAACATCTTTCATATGCAGGTATCTGTTTAACTGTGGTGAAGGAACACAGAGACTGATGCAGGAACACAAGTAAGAGATAAAACAGCACTGTTTTAAACGGCAACATCTATAGAGATCTGGGGGGTATTCCAGAAAGCAGGGTATGTGACATACCCGGGTATGTTTGAGGATAAGCGAGCGGATAACCTCAGCTTTCGGTTCCAAAATCGGAGGTTTCTTTCAGGGTATGTAAGTAACCATAGCAACTTGCTCTGAAGATAACCTGCTCCGGAGCAGCTTCTGTTCCAGGGTTAGTTCACTTCAGCGCACGTGTGATCTACTGACGAGACTCCAGTGGGCGTGACAGATAGCGCACAACATTATATAATATTACAATATGTAATATAGCCTATTTTATATATATATATTTGTATGATATGTTAATGAAGCGCTAATAAAATAATATTAGATCATTTTCCTGAATAAATAAATGACAAAGAAAATATTTTTTGTTTCATTTGTTTGATTGGATTCTATGTCTACTTTGAGTGTGAAAATCTGATTATGTTTTGGGGCATATTTATGCAGAAATATAGAAAATTATATATATATATATACAGGGTTTCAATTGGGCTGGGGCTGTCCGGGGTTGAGCCCCGGCACATTGACTCCGGGGCTCGACATTAACGCTGACTTAAAGGAACACTCCACTATTTTTGAAAATAGGCTAATTTTCCAGTTTTACCGTTTTCGAATTCACTCAGCCGATCTCCGGGTCTGGCGGTAGCACTTTTAGCTGTAGCTTAGCATAGATAATTGGATCTGATTAGACCGTTAGCATCTCGCTCAAAAAAGACCAAAGAGTTTCTATATTTTTTCTATTTAAAACTTGACTCTTCTGTAGTTACATCGTGTACTAAGACCGACGGAAAATGAAAAGTTCCGGCGTAATAATCAAGGAACTTTGCTGCCGTACCATGGGTGCAGCAGGCGCAATGTTATTACGCAGCGCCTGAAAATAGGCTTATTGGAAGTTACCTAGCTGGGACTATTTTCAGGCGCTGCGTAATATATCATTGCGTCTGATAATATCATTGCGTTTTTGAGCGAGATGCTAACGGTCTAATCAGATTCAATTATCTATGCTAAGTAGGGATGCACCGATACCACTTTTTCCAGTACTCTCCCGATACCGATACTTTTATTTTTGGTACTTGCCGATACCGAGTACCGATACCAATATTTTCATTGCATTTGTACATTTTTAAAATATTGGGTACAGAAACCAAAAGAGTATGTATAATGTTAGTTGGTTAACTTCATTTATCAAATAGATACAGTCAAACCAAAATCTATT